TGTCCACTACCAATAAGATATACTATGTTTGATCTTTCAAATCTACAAATATCTTGAACTCAAATCCTCATTTTGAATGTGGTTCTTGGCCAATGGGATTTTTAATCTTTTTCAAAATGCTGTCTACAAAAAAAAAAAAGAAAAAGGCAGGTATGAGCAATAAAAGTGGGGAAATACAATGATAAATCATTACAATATCATTGAAGGATTTGATTTGAGATAGAAGTTTATTTATCACACGAAATAGTTCAAAATAAAGTTGTAAAGACCAACGAAATCCAAAAATCAGTAAAAATAAAGTCGAATAAGTTTTATCAGTGATTTGAATAACTTGGAATTCTTCAAAAGTTCAATCCCTACAACAAATTACACAAACAAAACTTCGCCCAAAATAATTCCACCAGAAAGAATCGAAACAAATCCTCCCCCACTATGATGGAAATTTTCGCTAGGAATGAGAAACAATATCACCCTTACTCTTTCTTTTTGTTATTGGTTGGGATTATTACTCCTCTTCTTTTTGCTATATGCCTATATCTGTAATCATCAACAAGTGAAGAACAAACATAAAATCAATGCGGTTAGAAAACATCATCGAAGTTATGGCAGTTGCGGCTCCTTCGACTTAATTACTCAATTGTCATCACTTTGAATGGAAAAATACGTTGATGCTGAAAAAAAAAACCTAACAAATATGGATGGATCGAGAAAATGACATGTTTTTTATTCAAACTCTTTGCTCCTGCATCTTAATTCATTAGTACAGTTTTAAACAAATACATAAATAAATAAAAGAGCACTAAACTCATTTTAAGCTCTTCGCGCCTGCAACTTAATTAATTAGGACAGTTTTAAACAAAATACATACATAAATGAAAATTACTTCATGAAGCAGTATTCGTAAACTGGTACCCCTAGTGAATCTTCATCAATCATCATAGCAAAGAAAAAAAGAGAAAGAACTGGAGGGAAACGGGGCGTGATAGTGTGAAATACCTTAACGTGCAACGTTATTTAGTGTTTTCCTGTTACAATTAGATAGATACTGCACCTTCATTTATTATGATTTGTACATCTTGAAAATTTAGGGCCTTTGAAAAAGGCGCCCATCACGTAAAATTGCCGTGATTTCATGAAAATTACTATAGAGATTCCTTTAAATTTGGTTGTTAAAGATAGGATTGTTTTCTGTTTATCACTTCATTATCTCTTCTATAAGTTATATGGATACTAAATTTTATAACAATTCAGCTATTGAGATCTCCTTATTGATAATGGTATACAAAATAAACTACCAAATCTGATCCATGATTCAAAATTTCGATATAGTTGTTCAAATGGATCGATTCTGATTTTCTTGCTTGTTTTCAAATCCTATCTTTGCGTTGGTCTTCTGTCTAACTACATTTAGTAGTAGAGTTTGCCTGCAGTTAAATAGTAATACGTTGTACTAGTAATTTTTTTATTTTTGCTATTTTTTAAATCAAATAACAACTGATTTTATTAACAGAAGATAGAGATGTTTTTTTCCCTTTTAATAAAAAAATGGAGAAAATTCCTAGTCTTAAGTGCCAAGTAGAAAACTACAGTAAAACGTCAGTAAATTAATAATCGATAAATTAGTAACTACTAGTAATTAATAATTTTCTTCCGTCCCAACTTGGAATCAGTACAAAAAGTGACAAAAATCAATAAAATAATAAGATAATAATGTTTCAAAAGTTCTTCTATATATCTATAGGTTTTAATAATATTGTAAATTAATAAATACCTTAAATGGAAACAAAAAAAAAATACTAATATCTAGGAAGATTTAGTAACATATGAACTTATTAATACTTGAGAGAAGAGTTTCATCCCCTTTTTTATCCCGATTACGATATAAATTAGGTTTGAGTTTATTATTAAAAAGAGTTACTTGTTTTGGATCGTAAATAAACAATGGAAAATTACGTAGTATAGTAGGGTTTTTTTGAAGAAATAATTCCTCAAATTAATAATTTATTGATAAATTAGTAAATTATTAATTTATCGATTATTTAATAACTCGCTAAATTAATATTTGGTGGTCCCAACACTATTAATTTATTATAGAAGTTCTACTGTATCCAAGCCTCCTCTCTATGGATTTTCTATTATTAAGTTACTAGATGTTACCCGCACAAGTATCACGCTTTAAATAAATATCACTTTATAAACAAATATCTATGAAAACATATATAATATGGATTTCAAGTATCATTAACCGCGAATAGAGTGGTGTTCATAAAATATGACTTGCAAGAGAGTGATTCTAACTTTCATTGATTATTACTGTAAAAGAGATGACCAAATAAAATTATCTTCGTTTTAAAAGGGTAGTTTATACTCGTGGGCAAAGTGAAATGTAAGATTGTATACATTAACATCTATTTTGTTGCTTAAAACCTTGAAGTCCGGCATCCATATGCAACCCTATTCACAAGTCTAAACCCATCAAATCTTATTTGGAGTGGTTCTTCAACATCGCTAACTTCCTCTTTGTGTTCAAATTGCGGTGGGCTCTTCCATCGCATCAAATTCTCATGCAAGAAAATAAATCAATCGATGGTCTTTCTAAAATTTTTAATAGATTGACTCAACATAGTATAATTTAACATTAAAAAAACTTTCAACCAGAATAGAAGATTTGGGTAAAATAAGATAAGATCGAGTAAGATTTACTCTGGAGTATTTGAAAACAGAATCTTCGACCGGATGATTACTTAAGTAATATATCTTTTTTCCTTGGAGTTTTTTAATCGAAGATAAATTTTTTCTTCCTTTCTAATAAATCAAAAAATAGAAAAAATCGCTAGTTCCATGTGGCAAGTGGAAAACTCATGATTTTTAGTCAAACCAAGCATCCACCACAACCCCGGTAATGGATTTGAAAAATTAAGATTTACAAATCTTACAACTTAATGAGTAAAAACTACCAATAATTAATAATTTATTAAAACACAAATAGTTTTTCCTTGGATAGAAATGAAAGAGAAAAATATTTTAATATGCTTACGGAGGATTGAAAATTTCTCTTTCACTTTAAGATTAAAAGAAAGAATCACAATATTCATGCAAGGGAGATAAATAAAATGGACCAGACAGTGTTCATGAGATTAACTAAACTTATCGGATCATTTTGCCTGAAAACCACATAAATTTATCACAAAATTTCAGGTTAATTAATTAATTATCTACGAAAAATGAGTGCACTGATCAGTTAAGTCAGCCTTTTACATCCAACTGAAGAACCCCCAACTTCGCTATTGCTCATAAGCTCCAATCATAGATTAAATCCCTACAATATACGTACAATCTTAAACGCATCTTAGTACGTGGAAGATGTAATCATATGCACATCCTGTTTTTGGGAAAATAGAAACTACCCTAAAATATCCTTTTGCCAAAACAAATCATGGATGCAACCGTTTTCTCGAATTCGGCATCTCCTGAAAAATTGCACCAGGAGGAACAAAAAACAGAACAATATTGATTTGCAAAAATTAGAAAAACATACAAAACAATATAAGATTTGTATGTGTTCACACGAACTTGTTTGATGATGATAACAACTTCACAAATTTTTCAACACCTAACCCTCAAATATTTAATCGCAATCCACAAAGTGTTTTACATTTATTTGTGTGCTTAGGCAAATGGGAATAAGGGATTGATGGAAAAAAGAATTAGATAGGGGGAGAAGAAAAACCTTAAGAAAAATAAAGGGAGAACTCCCGAAGATTCACATACAGTTTCTGATTAGAAAATTTTTAATTATGGTTATATTACATCAGGTTGCTTTATTTGGTATTTATTGAGAAATGGTTTACACGTTGAGATCTCTAAAATATAGGGATTTATTTTGATTACTTAAAAACATAATATTAATTGATTTATATTTATCTTTTTTTTTATTTGATTTTCATTCAAACTCAAAAGTTCATGATTATCTTTTATGGTTTGCGTCCAATTCGGTCAGTGATAAGGTTGATTTGGTTATTATTAATGGAAGATATTATAACTTCTAAATTTTAAAATGAACTTAATCACCGGATGAAGATGTAAAAAAATCGGAGCTGGAATCTTGAAGACTTAATGGTTTATAATTGAAAAATCTTTCAACCAAATCAGAAGATTAAGAACGGAAGAAGATTTTAGGAGCGGTGGTTTTGAGTTTTGATTGAAGGAATCGAGAAAATTTTTTATGAGCTATTTGATTTGGATGATTTCCGTTTTAACAAAAAGACAGAAAAAATACCAATTTTTTTCCTTTTTAACTAAAGATATAATTTTTCCTTTTTTTAATAAATCAAAAAATTGAGAAAATTTCCAGTCATACGTGGCAAGTGGAAAACTATCCCAGTTTCCTCTTTCTGGTTTTTCTATCATTAAGTTATATAGATATAAACATAGATTTTTGTTATATGTATAATTTCAATTTTTGTTTTGGCCTTTGTAAATAAGTATGGTTTGTTCTTTCAATAAATTTAGCGGTGCTTTTGAGATTTTTTCTTAAATCTCTTTTCCTTCCAATACACTTCTATATTTTTGATAAAGTCCACGGCATGTTACGATGGACGCTATATAGTGCATGACTTTGATGATGTCTGGGGTTGAATTTGTGTAGCATTGATGATTGATTGATTAATTTATTCGTGCATTCTATGGCGAGATTCGATTAAGAGTGGATAAGTCCATTCCACTCCACTACAATCTTTTTAGTCGGCATTTTTGATATTTTGTTTGATCATGTTATATCTTACCCAAAAAGAAACTTTCAAACAGTAAAAAAGCAACATCAAGTGTGTTTCGCAAAAAATAAAAGAAAAATAAAGACACTGGACTAACCTGCACCATCTATGGCGAAGTGGAGAGTGAATGGCAAGGGAGTGATATAGGAGGTACAAGGGGATAAGGGAGTAGAAAATAGGAAGATTTCACCGATTGATTCTGATAAAAATCAATTGGAGAAGGGAGATATGCAAGTTGGGGAAAGTTCATCCAGGGCTAGTGTTGGGGTTGACGAAGCCAAATTGGGGCAAGATATGGAAAAGAATAGGGACGACGAGCAATTACAGGCTCAAGCAGCGAAGTTGACTGAGATTCTAGGTCTCAATCCATCACGGAAACTTGATTGGTCGAGATTTGACGAGAAGGAGAAGACGGTATGCTGGGACTCTGATTTAGTGAAAAAGCTCAAAAAGGGTGGTGTGCCACTGGACTACATTGAACCAAAAGAGAAAGATGGAGTTCAAATTGTTATGGTATAGAGAAAGATGTACAAAGCGAACTAGAATATTGGCAACCCTCAATTATTAGCTTCATACTTGGAGCTAATCCCCCCTTTAAGGTAATGGATACTTATTATCATCGCATTTGGAAACACTTGAATGTTAATAAAGTTATACTTCTTCCAACTGGGCTCTTTGTTATTCGATTCAAAACTTTGGAGGAAAGGGATGAAGCCTTGTTAGAACCTGTTAACTATCTTGGTGCTAATCATGTTATTCTGAAACTTTGGAAAGTAGAAAGAGGTTCTATCTATAAGGAAGTGAAACATGTACCGGTTTGGGTTCAGTTTCCTGGGCTTGAGTTATAGTTCTGGAATCCGGCCACACTTAGTCGGATTTCCAGCACTTTGGGACGCCCCATAGTTACAGATGCACTAACTGGCACAAGAGATAGGCTGCATTGCCAGAGTGCTAATTGATGTGGAAATTAGGGAAAAGCCCCCCTTGAAAGCTCATTTTGTGGATGAAAATGGAAACTTGATTGAGCAGGGGGTATATTATGAATGGAGGCCGACTCAGTGCAAGAGTTGTTGTTATTTTGGACATGGAGAAGATGATTGTAGAAGGAAGCTGAAAACACCAGAACCTGTGAAACCTAAAAAGGATGATCAACCTAAAGGGAAAGAAGTTTCTGAGTGGCGGGTAGTTACAAAGAAGGGAATAACTAGTGATAAGCTGACTGGTGATCATGTGGAAAGGCAACAACAGGATGGTAAAACGAATAAGCAACAAGTACCAGCAACAATAAGAGGTGTTAGTATAAAGGGTGGCAATAGCTTCACAGTCCTTGATGTGGGAGGAGATGAGGAGCTTGGAGAGGAAGTTGAATCAGCACCTATAATGACCAAGGATGCAGGGGAATTGCAGGAACATGGACATGCTAGGAGTGATAATCCCCTGGACCCGAGCATAAATCCATGAGTATACTTCATTGGAACATAAGGGGCCTCAATGGCCCTGTCAAGCAGAAGGAGGTAAAAAGAGTTAGTTCCAAGTTAAATACTGTATTACTTTGTTTAGTGGAAGTAAAGTTAGAACATAGCAAAATAGCTGATATGATGAGCAAAATGTGGGGTGGTTATGACTAGTGTTGCAATTGTTTAAATAATGAAAAAGGGAGAATTATAGTGTTATGGGATCCAAGTTTTCTAAAGGTTAGTATAATACGAAAGGAGAAGCAGTTTATTCACTGTTGGATAGAACAAAGGGATGGACAGAGAGCTTTTTTCGTTACTGCCATATATGCTTCTAATAGGCAGGATGAAAGGAACCAACTGTGGGAAGATATGATAAGCTTATCTAGTGGAATGAGTAGTTGTTGGCTGGCATTAGGGGATTACAACAATGTATTGAACATACAAGAAAGAATAGGGGGGAATCCTGTATCTTTAAGTGAAGTACAAGGCATGAGAAGGTGTGTTGAACTGTGTGAACTTTAGGACCTTAAGCAACAAGGTCTTAGGGTTACTGGCCTAATAAACAGGTGGGTTCAAAAAGGATCTACTCTCGTATTGATAGAGCCCTGGTTAATGGTCATTGGATCATGGAGTTCCCTCATTCAACTGTTACAACACTGGTGGAAGGGGTTTCAGATCATAACCCTTTTCTGGTGCAATTAACAGAAGATACTATCCAGAGACCAAAACCTTTCAAGTTTTATAACATGTGGTGCCAATCAAAGGAGTTCTTAAAGGTCGTTGATGAGGAGTGGAGTAAACCAGTGGAGGGCACCTATATGTAACAACTAGTCAAGAAAATGAAAAGACTGAAACATATTTTGAAGCAACTTAATAGGGCACAGTTTAGTGACATTCAAAAGCAAGTGGATTGTTACGACAAGAACTAGAAAGTGTACAAGCACAAGTGCAGAATGATGGACAAGATGTGGAGCTGTTGGAATATGAAAAAAGGATTTATGAAGCATTTATATAGAAAAGCAAGGCGAATAAAAGCTTCTTACAACAGAAGGCTAAAGAATTATGGGTGCACCAAGGGGATTCGAGTAGTTCTTATTTTCATGCCAAACTTAGAATCAGAACTATGCGAAACAGAATCAACTCAATTGTGGGGGGAGCATGGAGAAGTGATTATTGATTGGAGCATAGTGAGAGAGCACTTTGTTGAGTTTTTTCAAAATCAGCTTGGCAAGTGTAGTACCAAAGAGCTTTCTCAGCAGACCATATTTCTAAAAGGCCCTGTCTTTAACTGGCAACAGCAACTCAGTGTACTAAAGGTGGTTACTAAAGAAGTAAAAGGAGCTATCTAGGGTATCAACAGTAACAAAAGCCCAGGCTTGGATGGGTTTGGAAGTGGCTTCTACAAAGGTGCTTGGGCAGTGATTAAGGAGGATGTCATCAATGCAGTACTGGAGTTCTTTGAGCATGGAAAATTGCTGAAGTAGGTAAATTCTACTATTCTAGCACTTATTCCTAAAAATGATGCACCGCAAAATGCTTCAGAATATAGACCATTTGCGTGTTGTAATGTGGTGTATAAATGTATTTCGAAGATTATTTGTAATAGATTGAAACTAGTTTTGCATGAACTTGTTGAAAAAAACCAAAGTGCCTTTGTAAGCAATATGTTAATTCTCCATAACATATTGCTTACTCAGGATTTGGTTAGAATGTATGGTAGGAAAAACATAAGTGGTAGATGTATGATGAAACTAGACTTGAAAAAAGTTTATGATTATGTAGAATGGGATTTTATAGAAGAGATGTTAGAAGGGTATAGATTCCAGCTTCTTTTACGAATAAAGTGCTAGAATGTGTTAGAACTCCTGCTTTTTCTTTGGCCCTAAATGGTGAAGCTTGTGGTTTTTTTCGGGGCAAAAGGGGTTTGAGGCAAGGCGACCCTATGTCCCCTCTCTTGTTTGTACTTGTGATGGAGTATCTCACAAGGTTGATGGCAGATGCTGCGGAGGATGTAAAGTTTAAGTTTCATCCACAATGTAAGGGGCTGAAAGTTACAAACATTTGCTTTGCAGACGATCTTATGATCTTCTGTAAAGCAGATGTTTATATAGTTTCAAAAATTATGTCTGTTCTGAAAAGATTCACAGGTACTACTGGGTTGGTTGCCAATATAACAAAATCTGAAATCTTCTTTGGAGGTGTTGAAGAATGCTTGCAGACCCAACTATGCAATATCACAGGTTTTAAATGACAAAAATTTCAAGTAAAGTATCTTGGTGTGCCCTTATCCCCAAAAAAATGGAACAAAGCTGACTGTGAGATGCTTGTCCAGAAAATTACAGCAAAAAACAGATGTTGGAGCACCAAAAACCTCAGCTACACTGGAAGATTAAAGCTCGTAAACTCTATCTTGTTGTCCATCAAAAATTTTTGGGCTTCTGTCTTCTTATTACCTCACAGTGTAACTCAGCAGATCAACAGAATATGTCGTTGTTTCTTGTAGGTTATAAAGGAAAATGGTAGGAGGATACTTCACCGTTGACATCAAGCTCAACTAAAAGTGGGTCAAAGGTAATAGTTCCTCCACTAAAGCATGTAGTCATTTTATCCTAGGGTCTAATCATATTCTAGTTTCGGCAAATAATATCACCTTAAGAAACAACCACTTCTCTAACAGGGATTTGCCCACAAAATACCAGTATTTACCAAAATCAGATGAATTTGTTACTTTGGAGAGGCCATCCAGTCAAATAGGATCCATCAGTAGAAGCTTTAGTCTCAAGCACCATTCGGTCATCCAATTCCACATTTTCATCATGATTGGAGATCAATTTAACCCTAGCATGAACCATAATATCTATACTTCCACTAGATTCTTCAGCATCACCATGTATATCATACAAATATCACAAGATTTCACCAAGAAAACCTTTTAGCTCTTGAATTCAAGAAGTCCTCAAGAAAAATTGGAGCCTTGTTCTTCACTGGAAGGCACAAGTTAACCGACATCAACCTCAATTCCATAATCCTTTCCATCCGAACTTAAATAGCCACTACTCAATTCCGAAAAAAAAAACATCATTGGAATCCATAGACATAGTAAAATGTACATTCATAGATTGAGGATACCTTGGTGAACTCCCGACATTGTGATGGGACTTCCGGCAGCAACGTACAAGATGGATTGGAGTTGTTGGGGAGGTGGGTAGTGGCCGAGGTATTTGCTGTTGGGGAGGTGGGTAGTGGCGGAGAAGCCGGAAAAGGGGAGTAGGGTTTGGAGAACAAGTGACGTTGAGACGCCAGACGATTGGCGTTACATTTGTCCTCAACCAGTTTTGCCATACGGACAGCAGCCTGTAGAGAAGTGGGGTGAAGGAGGGCTAATTCCTGCTGAATATCATCTCGGAGACCGTAGATGAAACAGTTGAGGAGGTTGGAAGGGTTTAGGCCAAGAGTTAAGGTAGAGGTGGCTTCAAATTGGGTTAAGTACTGAAAAACAGATGATGTTTGGCGGAGTTTATAAAGCTGGGCTTTATGGTTCACAAATTGGGAGGGACCAAATTGGAGTTCTAACTGGTGTGTAATGGTTTCCCAAGTGGATAACTGATCTGTAAGGTGGAGCTCACTGAAGAGCAGCTCCGTGCATATAAAAAGCAGCAATGGAGATTTTTTGGTCATTGGGGGTGGCATGAAAGGAGAAAAATTGTTCCATTTGGAAGAGCCAATCTCTGGGGTTTTCTCCAGTGAAAAGAGGAACTTCGAGCTTAGGTAATTTGGGAAGAGAACCCGAAGAGAAAGGTGTGGGTAGTAAAGGGGGTAACGAAGATGAGGTGGTGGCTAGTGGTTGTTGTGGTGGTGTTGGTGGTGATGGTGGCGGCAGTGGTGGCAGCGGTGGTGACAAGCGAGAAAGGATGTCGTTGACCGAGGCTTGAATAGATTGGAGGAGATGAGAATGATTATCCACTGTTTCATTTAATTTATGGAAGTTAGGGAGTTGGGAAATTTGGTCGGTGAGGGCTAAGATCTGGTCTTCAGTGGTTTTGGCCTTGGTAGAAGGCTTGCAGTCAACCATGGTGAAGGGGTCTCTCAAAGAAAGCACCAATTGATGGGACTTCCGGCAGCAACGTACAAGATGGATTGGAAACAGAGAGAGAAAGGGGAGGGAGAACAAAGCAGAGGGAGGAAAAGAGAGAAAGAGGAAAGAGACAAGAAGGAGAGAGGTGCAGGAAAGGTGTCTTTTCTTGTCCTGCTCAAAAACATACTCATTACATATATAATACTTCACTGACTATGGCCTCCTTTACAGCTCCCTATCTGATTAAATCCATGTGCCATACAACTATAATAATTTAAATAAAATAGAGATAAAATAAAGAGACAAATATTTAATCATATATAATCTTGAAATTTGCTTGGAGACTTCCTGATGCGCGTTGATCTTTGTCTTGGGCCTGCGTCACATTGCAACTGCGGTTGCCGAAATACTGAACTCAACTGCTGGAGTCTTTTCCGAATTACTGGTAGGAAGCAACTTTAATGATTCAAACAATTTGTTGAGGCAGACTTCCCACTCCTTTTAGAAATTGGGTTTGATTTCCTCTAACCTTGGTCGAGTCTAGCTTGTTCCGACTCGGAATCGCACGCCTCTCAAATAGAGGAACTCTCATTGCCAAAGGTTCAGAAAGGTTAATCGGTGTCGGATCTGTACAAAAAAAAAAAAAAACTTGTGGCGGATGGCGATTTTTAACCTAGGGTTTCCATGATTATATTGTTCGATTGAGGAATGACTATATGGATAGAGGAAGACGATGAAATGAGCAGATACAGTCAGAGAATCGACTACTTTGATAACAAATGTCAGGTACCGGAAGATTTAAATGGCATTAATGTCTAATTTGGGACTGAAATAGAGACAGAAGAGAATCATTAATTGTTAATCAAGAACATAATCAATATCATTCATTCATTAACTGAATATTATAGTAGATTCTGGTAATATTATGT